TCTATAGCGTACACCTCCATTTAACGGACAGCACCTAGTGTACCAATTACATTTCTTACTGTATAAAATAACCTCCACATAAAGGACACCTCTGTATAACAGAGCAAAGTGTCCATTATACAGAGTCCACTAAGACATGATTTTAATATACAGTACATGTAGTATGTGTCCATGTGTGTCTATTGTACTGTAGCTGAGGTATTCTTCCATTTCTGAAAGAGAAAGATAACTAGTATATTAATTTCCTGTTACATGTTGGCACAGAGTCTGTCATTAATGATATGAACATGAGCATATACTCACTACATCACTGAAGCTACTCTTAGACTATACGGAATACCTGAATCAGTGAGAACAAGAATTATTGATCTATTGTAATATAATAACCTTTTCTGAGTTATTGCAATATGCTAATTCATGGTTTTTCCAAAAAATGGCTCCAGAATCACCCCAAATTTTTATTACATTTTCTGATACATATTGATGTCCTTATGCTGTGTAGAAAATTTGTACTGACTCCAATCAAAATTTTTCAAGTTACAGCCATTTTTTTTAATGGCCAATTTTTGAAAAATACCCAAGGCATCAGAAAATACAAAGAAACATGTCCAAGAGCATATGACTGTGTTTACTAAGAGACCAGTATCTTTATAGTAAATACAGGAATATGCTCTTGTACATGTTTCTGTCCCATGTACCAGACATAGCACATGCATACACGATACATGAATATCTACACGAATTTTCTGGCTCAAGTAGATAGTGGTAGATAGAGGAGAGCAGCCTAAAATATTCGCCTTTATTTTCAGATATTTCATGTATTATATCTATACTAAAATAATCATCTGAAAAGCTTAAAAGACTGTTTCCTAATGCTTATTCTTCTGATTTTAGTGCTAATCAGGCAGGTAGCCATTTCAGTGTCCACATGGCTTTTATCATGAGTAAATAACTGCAATGGAAGATTTCATGCGATGCTTTTTGCAATAAGTGACATATTTTTAGTAGACGAAAATATACATGAAAATACACATCTACTTACATGTACAAAGTAAATACAAGTAAATACTGGTTTAAAAAATTAAAATACAAGTAGATACAGAGTAGATAGAATTTGAGTAGATGTGCTATGTCTGCCATGTACATGTTTCTGTCACGTGTACACATACAAGTAGCAAAGCCACCATTGTCCTCACTAGGCCAGTATCTACATGTACATGTATGTAAGTAATATTGTATATCATAAGTACATCTAGTCTGGCCCAACCTCTTCTTAACAAGATAAAGAAAGATACTACTACTATCAAACTGAAAATGACTCACTTCATTCTAGCGTATGGTCATTGTTGCAGCTATTAGTAACGCGGTAGCGTTACTAAGTAGGATTCACCCCCAAACAAAATGGCTGCCACGACTTTTGCAGCCTTGCTATACTGGGAATTAAAAAAAGGAATTAAGTCAATTTTCATGCCATTTTGTAATTGGTACACTAGGTGCTGTCCGTTAAATGGAGACGTACGCTATAGAGAGTGTCCATTAAGAGAGACTATACCGTATTAGAAAAGAACTACAACTAAAAGTATAAACCTTAAGTGTCATTAACATACAGTGAGAGAGAGAGAGAGAGAGAAGGTAGTAAAAGCATTAATACCACACTTATTATTAATAAAACATTACTAGTGCATTGGCATACAGTGAGATACTGTCAATAGTCAGTTACTACATTAGAACAATATCACAGACTGTTAATAGTAACAACATTCATACACTCAGAGACAAATTAGAAATGACTTTTTATCACATGTAGAAATTCAAAAAGGACACCATGCATTGTCCCCACTAGGCCAGTATCTATATAAGTAGCTGAAGGATATCAGTATATCATCAGTACATCATAAAGAGATAAAGAAAGATACTACTACTATCAAACTGAAGATGACTTCATTCCAGCGTATGGTCCTTGTTGCAGCTGTACTCTTTATGATTACTGCTCATGTCACTGATGCTGCAAAAAAAGAGGGAACCTGTTACCTTAGAAAAGGATGTGTCGGTACTCCTTACTACATGGCAGAGAATGTAAGACTATCAATAACCATTTTACAATGTACATGTACAGTATAGTCTCTCTTAATGGACACTCTCTATAGCATACACCTCCATTTAACGGACAGCACCTAGTGTACCAATTACATTCCTTACTGTATAAAATAACCTCCACATAAAGGGCACCTCTGTATAACAGAGACACTTTCTTGATCTCAAAGTGTCCATTATAAAGAGGCTAGTCTGTACATGTATTTTTATTAATTTGTATAGGATGGAGAAAAATGCTGTCAATTTAAATTTGCTTCTTACGAATATGAACATGACGGTAGGCCAGTTTGCCGTAACTGCTAAAGCAACTGAAGAAGCAAGAAAATAATAAGAACAATACTACTATTAACAGTTGAATACTATTAATACTTTAATTATTATTATTACTTTAATTATCATTGCTAAACAAATTTATCTAACAAATTAATTCAGACTGATTAAGAACAAAAGAGGTTACCTCAGCCCTATTCTGTAGATAGTACATCTTATAGCTAAGCTAAAGGCTTTGGCAAGTTTGCAAGCTGTCATTTTGGTTGTGCAGAGTATCTAACACCATGAGTGTGGTTGATTTATTTGACAGATGGTAAAGATGGTTCCAAGTGTGGCACTATCAATAGTCCTGTACTTCATTAGCAGTGTCACAGACTGTTTATAGTAAACATAGGCATAATGATGATCTTGGACACGTTTCTGTCACATGTACTGTGACAAAAACGTGTCCAAGATCATATCCCTGTATTTACTATTAAGATACTGGCCTCTTAGTAAATACAGTCATACTTGTACACGTTCAAACAAAGCCACCATTGTCACTAGCACTAGTGACAATGGTGGCTTTGTTTGAACATGTACATGTGATAGAAACATGTACAAGAGCGTATGACTGTGTTTACTAAGAGGTCAGTATCTCTAGTAAATACAGTCATACGTTTCTGTCACATGTACATGTTTCTGTCACGTGCACACATTCAAACAAAGCCACCATTGTCCTCACTAGGCCAGTATCTATAAAAGTAGCTGAAGGATATCAGTATATCATCAGTACATCATAAAGAGATAAAGAAAGATACTACTACTATCAAACTGAAGATGACTTCATTCCAGCGTATGGTCCTTGTTGCAGCTGTAGTCTTCATGGTTACAGCTCGTGTCACTGAAGCTCAGGGAGGAGTCGCTGATTGTTTCCCTCAGGCTGACTGTAAAGGGATTCCTGAAGCATCAGTGGATGGTGTAAGACCTTTTATCTTTTTAAAGGCCACCATACACCATGAAACTTGTTTCATGGTGTATGGTGGCCTTAAGTTTACAAGATATCAATATTATTGGTGTGTATAAATTTTTAAGATTTCATGCTACATAAAATTCTTTTCAAGAACACACTGTTTTCACAGCAAAGCCACATCTGAAATATGACAAAGCCCCACAGTTTACATAAAGACAAAAAAGGAGGTCTAGGGGAATGGTTTATTTTGTGGCCTTAGATTTTCTTTTAAAATATTTGTTGAAATGGCTGTACAAAATGTGCCATTAAATTTCCATTTGATGCTAATAATATTTCTAGTAATATTTGATGTTAATTCTAGTAGATTTGAGCCTGTGATAAATATTGCATGCATTATCTTTATAGGATGGACAAGAGTGCTGTGACAAAGGCCATGCTTCTTATGCTACCTACTCAAGTGCTGGAGTACCTGAAGCTTGTCATAACTGCGGAAGCAACTGAAGAAGCAAGAAAATAATAAAAACAATAATAACAATAATAACAACAGTTAAATATCATTAATACTTTCATTATCATTATGTAGTTTGATTATCATTGCTTTCTTTACTTTATCATTGCTAAACTCATTTATCTAATACAGTAATACTTATAAAGATACCAACAGGACAGACCCCCAGCCATTAGATACCTTATGTAACTGATGCTACAGGACAACACTCAATATATAAAACCATTCAGCTTTATTTGATCTATTGCTTTCAATTGGTCATAAAACTAAATGGGCCAGTATCTTAATATCTAGTAATCAAGTCATACAGCATATCATCAAATGTACATTGAAGAGCTCCTTCCAATAAAAGGATGTCCCTGTTCCTACTACATTCTTATTAAAGTTATAGCAGGTACCAACAGGTCAAAGGGAACATGGACATACTTGTAAAGTTCATAACACACGACTGCAGTGAAGGATTCATTGAGAGGATCAAGAAATACTGTCAATAGTGACATACTCCATTGGTGGTGACATATGACAGACTGTTAATAAATAATAGACATAGGCATGCGTATGGACACATTTTCCATCACATGTACACACTCACCATTGTCACTAGCACTAGTGAGGACAATGGTGAGTGTGTACATGTGATGGAAAATGTGTCCATACGCATGCCTATGTCTATTATTTATTAACAGTCTGTCATATGTCACCACCAATGGAGTATGTCACTATTGACAGTATTTCTTGATCCTCTCAATGAATCCTTCACTGCAGTCGTGTGTTATGAACTTTACAAGTATGTCCATGTTCCCTTTGACCTGTTGGTACCTGCTATAACTTTAATAAGAATGTAGTAGGAACAGGGACATCCTTTTATTGGAAGGAGCTCTTCAATGTACATTTGATGATATGCTGTATG